GGAGAGTAAAACAGTGGATTTATAACTCACTCTTTACTACCCTGTCCTCACCTGCCCCTTAAACATATTGCTACTGCTCCTCTTTGTGTCAAAAGAACCCGGGCTAAGTCATTCTTCAAATTTTAAATAAAAAAAAAATAAATAATGACAGAAAATAAAAGACAAAGTCCTTCTCACCAAGGAATTCTATTTAAAGGGGAGGAGGTAGACAGTGGCACAGTGATAGGATAACCAGACTCACATAAAAAAGGTCCTGGGTTTGCAGCCCGGTCCAGACCTCCCAGAGCACTCCAGGGACATGGGCACATGCACATGATCCCAGCTTGTTGAGGCAGGGAGTGGATTGTGGCGTGAGGAATCTGTTTGGGTTGGCACTCCATTTTTCTCTCTCTCAAGAAATACATAAATAGACTTTTGAAAACTTAGAAAAAACAAAAACATTAAATAAAAGGAAAAGATTTCTGAGGCATTGACAAAGGAAGATTGAAAAACTTCTTGGATGACATTATAAAAAAAGGCTTTAATCCTGACACACAGAAACAAGCACTAATTATATTTGTTGTTGTTGTTGTCTTTTAACTGCCAGAAGTATGGGTGCTCACCAGAGAGAAAGAATTCATCCCCCAATGGGGCCTAGTCATTCTGCAATCCCTTCTCCATTCCTTTACCCCTTTGAAATTTGGGGCATGTACATATGCAAGGTGTATTTTTCAAGCCACTGGAGCTGGGCTTTATATTTATACTTGGCTATAGAGATCAAGTCCCTTATCACTAGGTCATAGGACATGCCGTAAGCACTATTTTTTAAAAAAATTATTTATCATTCTTATTTTTTAATTTGCTTCAGTGCACATGTGCTCACCAGAGAGAGAGGGAGACAGAGAGAGGGAAAGTGAGAAAACTAGCTGCCATGCCTGGGCCTTGGGAATCCAGCCTCTTAACTTCCATGCCGCCTGGTGGCCCCATAAGCACTAGTTTTAATGTTAACATTTTCTTTTTGAATTACCTTATGTAGGATAATATATGTTGTAGCCCTGGCAACAAACATTTATTGAACAAAAATAGACCATCTTTCAGTACCTTTTATTCTTCATCTTTTAACCATTCATATTGTATAACACAATCCAGATGAACACACACTTTGGGGAAATTTAAGACTGTACATATGACTAAGAAAATGTCCCCGAAGTAATCACACGCGTGTTTTCATTTCTCTTTAGGTCTGGCCAGCTAACTCTACTGTACAGTATTAGTAACTATTTCCGTCTCTGCTGCAATTAGTGCTAATTACCATACCTGAGCTATAAAAATAAAAGATTCCATTATAATAAAGTTCACAATTGTTTTTTTAGTTCAGAAATCCACATTGTCCATCTAAAACAGTAAATGTCTTCTTCACATATAACCGTTTCAGACTTGCAGCTACGTATATTTTATGAAACCACGTTGTGTGCTGTGATGTTAAATAGCCATTTAGAAAATGAAAAGAAAAAAATGTTAGCCACTTAGTACTGTCAGTATTCAGATCTTTTGAGATTATCCTGAAAGCCACAGCCAGCTGAGTGACTGGATTATTCACTTTCCCTCTGAGCTTGTTGGCATTGGATAGACAGGGTTGGCATTCCTCTGTCTGATGCATTTAAAAATGGGTGTAACTTACCCAGTTATTCCATGTACAAGGAAACTCAAAATCCCAAAGAATTCCTAACTTAGAAACAAATGCATCACAGTATTTTTAAGTAATTAGAGAAAAGTAAAATTTATGTAAATTCTGATAGTACCTATATTAAACAAATTATTCCATTGGAAAGTTTTTTTTTTCTTAGTAGGAATTGATTCATATTCAGCAAAACATTTAATCTCTTACTGCCTTCATTATAGGTTTATTATCTGCAGTCAACCTTGAGATTAATGTTTTCTGCCATATGAGGATAGTTATGCTTAGTGTATTAATTCCTCAAAACAATATCTATTTATAAAGCTGCTAATTAAAAGAAATAATAAACAGCTTCCTCTTATAGACAAAAGCCGTACATGTAAGTAAAGCAAGTTAAGCCTCTCTTGCCCCATTTTAAAGGAATTAAGGAATTCAGAAAAACAAAAAGCATTCATTTAAGTACAGAGGACATACTCAAAACAAATCTCATGTGAAATTATTGAAAAGAACTCCCACAATACTTCCTAAAAGAATTTATAGAGATATTTTGCTATAGGTTTTTGTTTTCGAACAAATGATGCAACGAATATACCAGCATAAACTGTGAAGAACGCATACTGCTATGTATCTTTAAGGAAAAGAAATACATTATGCTGTTTCAAAGTCCAACTTGTTCATGCCAGGAATTAAGAAAGGTAAAATAATTGTTTTTCTTATTTGCTATAGGACATATAAGCTCACTGGAGATGAACAAAGAGAGGGAATGTGAGAAATCATCCCCCAGGGGATGGACATGCCATAATCCCTTCCCTTCCATTCTCTTTTCTTGATTTTGGGCACACATGCCCAGTGTGTTTTTGAGGCTGCTGGGTCTGGGACTTAAACCACACAGTTGGTCATGTGGGTTCCAGCTACCTTAACTACCACACCATTGGCTGACCCAAATTGATTACATTTTCACATAGAAGAATAGGAATTTAATGAAGCTGTTCAAACTTTAACTTTAAGCCAAATGTTCCTCTTTCAACAAGTTATATACCATTAATAGTTTCAGAAAATGTCAACCTCTTCTTCTTCTTTTTTTTAGTTCCATAGATGCCTCAAATTGTGCTGTGTTAAGATTAAATAGTGATTGACTTCCATAATTTGGTTAGGAGAGAACTGGGACCCAGGGTGGGAGTAGAAAAGTGAACCTAAATTGATATCTTCATAAACCTATGGAGAGGGTTAGAACTCTTGGTAGCAGTGGGAAAAGTATAGGAAACAGGGTCTGGAGGACTATAAGAGTCCCCCTTATAGAATTAAATGATTTTTAGAACTGGGAAAAAGACAGCAAGAGCTTTGGACCTTGATCTTCAATTTTATCTAGTCACTTTCTCTGAAAACTCTCTGGAACCTCTGTAAAATTTCTCAGCTTTCTCAGGTGGCCTCTTATGTGAAAATACCAATAAATGACAATGAACTACTCTGCAAGTAGAACTGCGACATGAATATACCACAGTATTAGTTACTGGTATTTTCCAACTCTCCCAATCACTAAATTTCTTTGACTAGGTCGTTCTTGTTCAAAGTGCCACTATATCCCAGAATGTAAGTTTATCTAGAGATGATGGATTTCAGTTAATACATATTTTATTGACTCTCTTCTAGGATTGACTAGTTCACAGGTATTAATTTTGGCTCCAGGGACCTATTCTGTAAAAACAATGGTTTTATATGTTTCCTGCATCTGCAAAATGGGCCTAAACAGCAGAAGTGAATATATATACAGTGAAGATAACCTAATGGGATTAGTTAACCCATTAACTTGCAGCTGCAAGTTCAATGTTCCACTGATGTTATCAATCAAGTAACTATTCAAGTGTCAATTCCTGTTGCTGGTGAGCTATATTCAGATTATTCATGACTGCATTTATATGGTCAGTGTTATTTCGATGTAGAAGCTCAATTTTAAAGATTAGCACAGTCATGGATTTGCTTTAATAATGCATTCACTTTTAAAAAATATATAAATCTGGGTTCACTGGACCTATATGCCTACTTTACTTTATCAAATACAAATTTTGAAACATATCTTACCTGCTAACGTATTGGTATTTTGGAACCCTTCTCCCATGCATATTCCACTATGCAAGTTCATACTAAAAGTCAACCCAAGTATTTCAAATAACTTGATTTCTACTTTCGAGAAATTCCAGTGGACATACAGAGAGTATATGTTTATAGGATGCCAAAAATGTAATACGTTGTTTCAGACATTTAGTTATTCATCCAAACATTTTGTCTACCTTATGCCAAAGACATTTCAAGAATTTTGTTAACTGACTAAATCCTTGACAGAATTGCTTGGCGCTATTTAGGCAGCATGTTTATTATTAGTCTAAAATAATAATAGCAATAATAATGCTCACATAAACAATGTACTCAGGTTGACACAAATTCAACCTTGAAGAAAGTGACTCCAATTGCCTAGAGAACCAAAAACTTTATAATATGGTTTGTTGGAATTAGGATTCTAAAGATGTTGAGGAACAACCAATTATAGAATACAGTAATTGCATTGATTTCATCAACTTGATCATAATAATACTACATATCCAAATGAAACAGAATTAAGTGTTAGGTTTCACTTGAGTTCAAAAACAGATGAATTTTTTTACTGGGCAAGTTTACTGCTGATAATGAAATATGTATGACTGAAGATATCCATTTCAATTAGGTTATTGCTTAAAGGTCATAATTGGCCCGGAATCTTTTGGAAAATTTATAGACTATTTTATAAAGGTACATAAAAAGTGAAAAAAGTTGCATGCTTTAGAAACTTAGTATTTCCATCAAGCCTGTGGTCTAAAAAGAGTATGAAGACAATAGCAAATGGATGATTTCAACAGTTTCTTGGTAGTTACAGAATTTTTTCTTCTCTAGCTGCTGTCCCTTCAAAGCTGGCCAACTGTTTCTCTGGGGCTTTTTTTGTCTCACATTCAGAACAAGGAGACATCTGTAATTTCTGTCAAACAACACAGAGAAGATAATTAGAGAATAAATATATATTAAGGTTAAAAAAACAAATTCTTATGGAATATAAATAAAAATTCATCTCTGAATCAATAATTACAGAGAGTTAATATCAGACAAAAATAAAACAAAGGTAAACAAATAATTAAACCTCCACTTAATAAAAGTATATAAAAATATTTTATCTAAAAACAGCAAGATATTTTGAGAAAACTATTTTGGAGAAGAGTTTGGTTAAATAACTCAACCTTGATTAGTCTAATCCATAATTTGAGAAACACTGTCTTCGGTGAACTAAATCCTAAGGAAAGAACTGCTACGACATGATAGTTTTGGTCAAATATAAAACAGTACAAATGAAAATATGTAATTAAACTCTTAAGTTTTATTTGGTTCTCATCTGTTTTTGAGGGAGACATGTGTTTTTTTCCACCTCCTCAGCTTCCCCAAGTCTTCATGAATCTCCTGTACCCATAAGGAATACACCCGTTTTTGTTCTGCTTATTTTTGTTGTGTTCCTTGGTTGTGCATGACTTTCTGAGAGCTTGATTTTCTGAGGGCTTCATCTAATCAAACCTAAAGCTTAGTGGCAGAGACACAGGGAAGCACTCAGGGTACCACATGATCCTAATCCAGGTGGAATGAGAGAAAAGCAGTGAATCCAATGGCTCCAAAGCATGCTTTCCGACAGAAACAAATGAACGATGAAACGTAATACCTGTAGGACAGGCTCTGGTTGTGCACTGGCATTACTTGGGGGACCCTCTTTGCGTGTCATTGAACAGGTTCTGCCTTCCTATAAAAAAAAATGGCAATTGAAAATAGGTCAATGAAGTTAAATAACAATGAAAGGAGGCAGAAGAACTCCTACACTAAATTCTCCCCATTGAGGATCTTCCATCACTTTGATACATGCTGGAAGGACAAACTGGGATAACGTCATGTGTCAAAGGGGATTCTGAGGAGAGCACATGCATTCATGCTCAGTTTGGGGATCTCGGCAGTGCCTAGGGCAGTGAGCTACCACAAACGCCATTCCAATGGAAAGTTCCTTTTCTGTCCAAAGTTAAAAGAAAGTAAGAGTATAAAAATACTATGTCTGTGATGCCACTGTTCTATAAGATTTTAATATGTCAATGATCTGTGTGCCTGCAAGAACCCCAATATTGCAAGTCAGAAAATAATTTAAATAATATGATCAACAGTTTGTCAAACAAGAGATCTCCAATACCAACCAGAAAAATCTCATCTTACTTATGCGTCTCACTGGTTTTGAGGAAGATAAAGTGCTGGCAGTGGTAAAAAGCCTTCTAATTGGGCTTCATTTCTATTTTAACTGAAGTTATGATGCTGAATTTTCTCTTCCCTTCCTCCTTCCCACTCTCCCTACTTTCTTTCCTTCCTATTTTCTTTACTGCCATGCTTTCTCCCTTCATTTCTTTCTTTTCATCTTCCTCTTTATTACAAGCACACTTTAAAAAAATGGCCAGAGGGTGTGCACTTGCCAGAGACAGACTGAGAGTGAGAGAAAACAGAAAGTGCCCTGGGGTGTGGCCACACTGCAATTGCTTCTTCGTTTCTTCACCCTGTTGGAATTTGGGGCATCCACACATGACCAGCATCTTGTTCAAGCTTCTGATCAGGGATTCAAAGTGTGTAGTCAGCTATGGGGGGATCCAGCTGCCTTAACCAACGTCCCACTGGCTGGCCATATTAAAAGCACACTTTTAAACTAACTACAAAATCGTGTAACGGAAGAATCTACATTTTTGCATGTGTATACTTTCCTGTAATCTTTTCCATTTGTAAAACAGAGCCCAAGAATTTACTAATCCATGACCACTGGATAATTCTGACATTGAATGAGTCAATGGGATGGAGACATATCCTGCCTTTAAATTCTAGCATTCTAAAAGTTCTGACTATGTGATCACTAAGGAGGTTGTGTAGAACATTAAACCTTCTCCAATTCAGATTTCAGACTAATTTGGAAATGCTCTCTATTCTCAGACCACATTTCTCTATGTTGGGACACACAACACCTTGCCTTATCTCTTCCGGCCTATATTTATGCCATCTCACCTTTAGAAAAGTCTTTCTTCACTGTGAAATCCTGAAGACTCACCCCTCTCTAGGCCATCCTTTCCAGCAATAGGTAGACCTGGTTTTACCTCCCTGCTTCCAATGTATGAAGCCTATAATGACCTCAGCACTTTCCACTGTTTAATGCATAAGTGTGTGCAGTCCCATGTATATTGGGAGTTCCTTTATGATAAGAGCAACCTTGGTCTCCCCTAGATCCCAGCTAGTTGCCTACCAGATGGCGAGTGATCAATGCATAATCTCTGAATAAATAATGAATGAATATAAAACAATCATAGACCATGAAGTATTTCAATCCTTTAGAATTTTTAAATGACTGCTTTCTTTGTGTGACCATATTTAAGTATATTTGATAGGGGCTCCAAAATTAATATGTAATCCTTCTTTTAAATAAGACTGGAAAAGTGGTACTATAGCTATAATAGTAGAAATAGATAGTCAACACTTTAACTACCACATTCCAAAGAATTTTAAGCATATATGTAAGGGAATTTTCTACTCTACCTAAGGGATTTATTTTTCTTGTTGTGTACATTTGAGTGAGAACTGGAATCCCACATTTTCCTAGAAAACACAGTTATTCTGTTTTTATTGCAATACACTAGCTAGCTTTTGTTTTTATTTTACTTGTATTTGGTCTTTGAAAATTAACTAAGATAATTATATGAAATCAAGCTCAAAAAATTTCTGTGCAGATGGGAGTCTGCATGGTATAGGTTTTCCCTAAAGGCACTGGGGAACAATGAAGTTCATAAGTGTATAAATTTGGAGAAAATTTTTAAGTATTTTTACTTACTGTAGTTCTCTAAAATTTTGAAATACAATACCTTAAAGTTTTTTCTTGGCCTCTTAAAGTTTTGATCCCAAAAGATCTGTTCACACAATCACATGAGGTGATCGTTAAAAATAAATAATATACCTGGGTGCGAAATTCATCCTATGAATATGGGGCTTGCGTTTTAATCGGTATCCCAGAAATTCAAATGCACAAGTGAAATTTAAAATCTACTGTGTTATAATGCAGAAATGCATTATAAATCTTTAAGAAGGTATATAATAAGAACATTTCCAAATCTATTTGACCTTAAAACTCTTTATGTGTGGAGCAGTATTTGAGGTCGCTGTCATGAGGAAAGTACAATAGAATTTGCTGTGGTGTATGTTCTTTCATTAATGCTGCCACAGCCATTTGAGACAAGCCTTTGATCATCTGAACAATGGAAACTTATTAAATTTCAACATTAAAGAAAATGTTATGTGGCCGGAGGACAGTTCTAACTTTCCTATACTTTGATCCTATAGTGAACACTACCTTTAAATTTACTTTTTCTGTGCTCCATGGGCATTGTGGAGCTTTCATGAGGTGGAGTTCATAAAATTCTTATGATTCTCAGACAGTCAATGGAGGCAGGGACCACGTAATTATACCTTGCAGGTATTGTGCCTTTAAAAACCTATTCTCTTAAACCCAGAACCATCGCTGGAACAGGCATTCATTTGGTTTGAACACAAATGGAAGGTTTCTTCAGAGTTATCTCACTTCGTTGCAGATATGATCCACATTACTCAAAATTCCATAGAACTGAGTACATGGTTATAAACAATCATGGCCAATTTTCACTGATGCGAACTTCTGTCAATACTTACGTAATTCCCACACAGAAAAAAAGAAGAACAGTAGGAAGAACACAAGAAAGAGACATAGAGAAAAAAAAGTGCTGACCAGAGGGGATGCCTTGACATTATTATGAATGGTTCTTCTTTAACAAAGGTAAAAGTAATCATAAAAATGATCTGAATTAATGTTTTGCTTTGTCAGGAAAGGAAGAAAAAACACTTTGGAAAATAGAGATTTCAAGATTAAACTACATTGTCTTTACATATTTTAAGATTTATCCAGAAGGACATGGGTTCAGATTTATGCTAGGAATCACTTAATGTAGAATTACACCAGAGGACCTACTTCTAGGGAAGTTGTCTTTGAAAACTGTGAGTCTTAAACCTCTTCATGTAGAAAAGCTGTATTATAGGATGAAAGATGCACTTACTGCAACTGTGGTCAAGAATGTTACTTAAAAAGATAGGATTTTATAAAAAAAAAAAAAAGCTATTGAAATGGCTTTTACCTTTGCAAATGGATTTTTTTTCTTTTCATGGCCACAAAAATGAAATCTAGACAGTCTATTGAATTACCTTTGTTGTCCATAAACTTCCAGAGAACTAAAAGCAAAACTGAGTTTCAAACATGTTTTTATACTTTAATCACCACTGCATACATCTTTATTGAGTTTCTACTGTAATCCAGGCAGTATTTTAAGGTTGGAAATATTGAGTTGTCTGGAAAGGCATGACACATTTTTTGCATAGGAAAACACGTCATGACTTTCCCAACAACCTAACAGAATGTTGAAATAAAATGAGGTCTTTGCCCTGGATAGAGATTACATTCCAATGGAGAAAGAAGAACTATTTGAACAAAAACATACAAAAGAGCGTATCAGAGAGAGATGAGTGTGTAATGCTGTCAGGTCATGTTCAGAGCCTCCTCAGTAAAGGTGAGAACACAAGCTTGGGGGTCAAGTACATCTGAGTTTAGGTCTAAGTTCTTCCACTCACTGATATCTATCAGCAGACGCTTCATAACCTTCATGGGCCCTGATTTCATCCTCTTGAAACAAGGATATTGTCATCAGCCAGTGATACGGTGGCTAAGACAGCTGGAACCCACATGACCAACTGTTATAGGTCCAGACATAGGGGCTTGAAAAAAATATGCTGTACATATGTGCATGTGTGCCCAAAATCTACAAAAGAGGGAAAAATGGGAAAAAAAATGATTGCAATGTGGTCATCCCTAATCGAAAGTGCTTCTCATTTCTCCTTTCTTTCTGGTTCTCTCTGGCAAGTCATGTACTCTCTAGCAAAGTAAAAATGAAAGAAAACAAAAAAAAAATAGAGATAATAACATTCATCACATTTCCATACATATCAAAAGCACAAATTCAATATGCTTAGTATGTTTTTGTGACATATTGAAGTTGTGTAAAAAGCATTTGTATAATTTCTTCAACTGCCTAGTATTAATTACTCTTTTCTATTGTTCATAGCTTTATGTGACCTTTCATAAAGTGTGCTATAAGAGATAAGATATATATGTAAAATAAGTTTAAAATGATAATTCTGTTTCAATTGAAATGCTGTTTATACATTCACTATAGATTAGAACTGTGATGACTGACATGAGGATACAAAAAGGGTATGTGTATTTTCTTATCATTTGAGTTTTCATGAAACAAATTGGTCAAAAGTCATTGCATTGATAAAAGCAATTGTATGCCACAGGCCATTATTAATTGTGCTGAAAGTGTAAAATACACACATCTGCTTTATGTAAATCATTTTCTGCCTGGGATTGTGCCATGACCACATCCCACTGGGGATGGAGGTGCTTTCTTCTCCCTTCTCTCTGTCTTTCTATATCTCTGTCTCTCGTGAGCACATGCACCCTCTGGAAAATAACAAAACAAAACAGAATGGAAGATGCAGGTTGTGTCGTATTTTCATCATTTCTCTCCATGGTTGCAGCAGATGTGGTCAGTGAGGAGGAAGAGAAGACCGAGGAGATGGATGTAATGAGGGGGCAGGAGACTGTTAAATGAGTTGTGTGAGATGTGGGAACATAGCCATCAGACT